AATGCATTTTCAGGTAATAAAACACAAGCAAAGAGCTTTTTCTCTTTCCAGGATGCAGTTTTTAATACTAAAAATAATTTAAAAAGTGGTTTTTTTAGCCTTTGCATGTCATCTTCTGCCCTCTGCTGCCTTCCTACTTAGCAGTACTGTATTCTAGGTAGATTTAGGCCCAGGTTTTCCCCAGATAGTCCTGTCTTGTTGGGAGAATCTCATCTCTAAGGTTCAACCTCAAATCTGCTAAAAATTGCTCTATTTTTGACCACATTTCTCCTGTGCCCCTGTACAACATGAGATCAGGTGTTACCTGTGAAGAAGGTACAAGATTTGTGTGTTTTGTGCAGTACTTTTCAGATATTGAGCTCTCCACTGGAACTTGGATTAAGACTTATTATTTGAATTGTGTATTTGATAGTAACAACCCAACAAATTTTATAATGAAGTAATTAAAAAAATAATTAAAATTTAAAGTAAATTTTTTAGTTTGTTTGTTCCAAAACAATATTTGGGACATTGCAAACTTGTCATAAACTTCAAGGCTCAGTTTGACATCCTGTCTCCTCTGTTGCAGTGTAGTACAGGGTTCCTGCAAGCTAATCCAGCTCTTTTTCAGTCTGAAATCCCAATCATAGCTTCTGAGAAAACTCCATAAAGCTCTGTAAAGAGGCAGCTTTTTGCTGCTTTAGTAGCAAATAGGAGTCTTTCCCACAATTCAATATTTAATTAGGTGTCCATAAAGCTTAGGACACAGAAGTGAGAGCAACATTTAGCCCTGAGCAGTAATGAACACTAATGACCATTGTCAGTGCTCTCAGGCATTATGATGTTGAGGGTACATTTATTTCCTAACAATAATTCATTAGATTCTTGAGTGTTGGCCAGTGTTGCTTAGTGCTTACACACATATCTAATTATTAATTATCACTGAACTTCTCCAGAAACGTCAGCCACAGACAGTAGATATTTACTGGTGAATAAAACTATTGCTAAAGGAAAATATAGTGTGTCTCTAATCTGGCACAGCATATTTATTCTAGAAAAAAAATATCATCTCTGGAAAAGAAATTAATATCCTTGCCCTGTGGCAATTCTGGGGTAAACAACTGGCATTTCTTTGACAAGACCTTGTCCCCAGTGAAGACTTCTCATGCTGTTGGTAATAAACCTTATCCTGGGAGCTGAACTACAAAACATCATCAATTTAGGACTGACTTATCACTAGAGGGTCTTTCAGTTCCAACTTCTCCTCAGTTGAGGTCATGGGAACTTTGGGTTTCAGAGGATGTGTGTGTATATGTAAAGATATTCTGAATCTGCTCCCTTAGAAAAATTAGGACTGTTTGGTGCGACCTGATCTGTGTTTGCTTTCAGTTCCCTGGCATGGACTGCAGCAACAGGACCATCTGTGCTGCTCCTTTGACTTTGACAAGGCAGATTCAGTGAGTCATGGTGGTTTTGTTATCCAGATTTTGCATTTAGAGTTCGTATAAAATGTCATCTTTGTGCAAAAGACGTTTTCTTCGAATTCTCAGCGTTGTCCTCTTGTTGACATGACTTTCCTTTCAATTCATCCTTTCCATGATACCACATTCACACAGTGCTCTCTGTGCCTCTTTGGGCATGGCTGGGTGTTCCAGGGAATCTCAGAGCACAGACCAAGCTTTGAACAACTATAATCATCCTAAAAATCCCAATTCTGGCATTTAATTACGAACATATGATTTTGGTTCAGGCTGATGCACAGCACTACAGCAAAGAGCTGCTCAGTTCCCCTGGCCTTACACAAACCAGAAGGCATCACTTCATTGTAAAAATATACCCTGGAGATTGACTGAAGAGCTAATCAAGTGGAACAGAGCTTAAAGTCAGCCTTGTTGTAAAACAGGAGGGATAAAATGTTACATAAAGCATGGAAGTGTCTGCCTTTGATATTAAGAAGCATTTTCCTACACACCCTGAATATTGAATAATTAATTGGGCTATTGCATTGTCCTGCCTGTGAAAGCAGTTGGAAGGAGTAATTCCCAGAACCAGGATGCTTCAGGCCTCTCATTAAATAAAGACCCTTTTTTCTGTCTGATTCTAGATAGGAGTCATTGCTGGGCCACACTGAAGAGTGACCATGAAGGTTTCACTCACAGAGGTGACTCGTATGCGACAACTCCGGTCCTGAACCACCCCAAAAACTTATTTTGGGAAGGTGGGGTTGTAGCACAGCCCCACAGCTCACAGCAAACTGCTGAAAGGAAACCCAGCACAGACACCCAGGCAATTTATTACCCAAACAAACCTTGCAATGAGCTCCAGGGGAGGGAGGGAGCATTTCAGTTGTTAGGACTAGAGCCTAAATACTGGATTTATCTGATTTAAGGCTCTCAAGCTTTTATTGGGCTATTTGTGCCTAATTCATTTTATGGGAGCAGACCCAGGCTGAGTTGAATTTCCCAGTGTTTTTATCCAGCATTAAGAGCATTCCTGATCCTTTGGCAGCCATCCTCTCCTGCTGGTCACTGTGGCCAACCAACACCACTATCTGCTGCAGTCTGTGACTGCAGAACTGGGCAGCCTGTGCTCAAGGAGACAACTGTGAGTAGAAATCATTAATTTCCATTTTCCCTGCCTCTAAGTGATACTCTGAGTAGCTGCTCTTCATCCTTTCTCTCTACAGCCAGGCCAGAGCTGCTCTTCCTTCTAATTCAGCTCATGGCTGGGGGGGGCATTTCCTCAAGGCAAGAGATAATTTTTATATTCCTGCACTAAATGTCTGATTTTTCCAGAAGGGAATGATGGGCAGAAAATACACCAGTCACCATGTTTTATCAGTACCCTGGTGAGTTACAGAGTATTTACAGGGTAATTGATATTTTGCCTGTCTTTTCCCTCAAAATAGGCAAAATTTTCAGAGATTTGGCAATTAAACGAAAGCATGATCCAAAATAGGTCTGCAATCACCATGAGTATCACTGAGTGGTGGTGTCTTCACCAGAAAATCCACTGTGAACTGGAAACACCAGAATTCCTACCTGGAGACCATTTGACTTATCAGTCACTGGTTACATGAAACCAGGCTTGTTCTTTTCAGCCTTCTAAAGCCTTTGGATCCATGTGGAAAATCTTCCCTTAGGATAATTTTAACTTTGCTCATACTTCCTTGTTTCAGTAAAAGATGGAGCACCCTCGAAGGGCCTAATTCAGGTGTAGCACAAATTAAAAAAAAACAACTTGTGTTTTCTGAAGTGGTAAACTGGGCTCTGGCATCCTCCTTCCTTAGCAGGGAGAACAGAGCATTAAAATATATAATCCTGCTCTGTTCCAAGTAAAGCTTTCACTCCCAATGACTGGGATGAAAATATTTGTTCAGGGAATTTATCTTGATTAGGGGGAAGTTACCATTCTGATTCCTTTCTTGGAATTTATGGGGAACTGACTCCAATTAAAATTTATGGGCACTGGCTAGTACACATGATTTTTTTCTGTATTTATTTTAAACAGAGAGCATCTTTAAAAAGAAAATGAGGGCTCATCTCTGGCAGCTGCACTGCCTTGGAAGCACAGTTTAAGGCAAAGGTTTCTATGTTAATTTAATGTCCAGTTCTGTGAGGGGTAGAATCTTTAAATTTTGAATAATGAAAATCACTACACATTCACAAATGATCAAATTGGTTTGCAGGGAAACATTCCAAGGCAATGGCAGCTTTCAAAATCTGTAGTAACAACAGGCTGCTCCAACACCACTGCCCCATGTCACCCCTGGGCTGGCACCTCTCCTTTCTTAGTTCCTGCCACTGTCCCATCCTTCCTGCACAGCCCAAATCAGCAGTTCTCAAACCACAGAAACAAAGGACCAAGGCAGGCAAAGAATAACATGGTTTATCCTTTTTTTTTTTAAAGCATAAATGCAAATAGCACCATTGTGACTGAAGAACATCCTTATATCAGATAAGCATTCACTGCAGTCCTTACCAAGTAGATTTAAAGAATATTCAAATATATTGCATTACTTTAGTCAATTAGAGATGAAAACAAGATTGAGAGGATGCCTGGTAGGATTCCAGTATTTCCATCTTAATAATTTCAAGCACTGCAGGTTGTTGAGTCACTTTCTGTGGTACTGGACAGCACAAGGAGAGTCTGGAAGGCAGAACAGTAAAACCATCACAGGTGGGGGTACCCAGGGTCTCCAACTGCTGAGCTCGTACAAAGAAGACTTCAAGAAAGGGTCAAAGATGCTTTTAATTGGTAAAGTGCACATATACACATTTACATGGACAGGCTGCACACAGAGCATTCCAGTTATAATTAATTTGATGATGCTGCCTCTTAATTTCTTAATGCATCTGTGTCACTGGTTGACAATCTAATTCACTTTTCACTTGGTTGGTTGTTCTCTTTAGACCAGTTTCTTTAATGAATGTGAATGCTGGCAAAGGACTTCTGAAAACAAAGAACTTGGATTTAATGCAAGGATAGCTTCCAATTTAGGGCACCTGGTGCACCCTGCAGTCAGGACTAAAGAACAACTGTTACCTTGTGCATTTTCTCCTGTGATAAATGGAGAAATTGCTTCAAGTGCTACTACCAAGTTACAGATTTGGGTTCCTATCAGCATACAAGGTCACAAAATTATAACCATCAAAACCACATCAAGAACACACATACTTTGTCTTATTTTTTTTCAAAATCAGATACATCTTCCTTGGTCCTTAAGAGAGGGAAACCCCCCCATATTAACATATTATTCCAGATTAGCGGGTTTAAAACACTTTACAGAAACTTTTACATATTAACATTTTGTACCATCATTCCAGGTAGAAATTTCACCAAACTGAACAAAAGTTCTGTTTTAAAACTAAATAAAAGGGTGGGTTTTCCCCTTCTGTCTCCAGCGAAGCAACAATGTTCACCCTTGTCCTCGCTGTCCAGAAAGAAAATGTAAGAAAGCCAATATAGTAAGAAAAAAAACTTTAAAAATCTAAGACTAAAAAGGTAAAAAAAATTATGTAAAATTCAAAGCATTTATTGAGCCTTTATTTATTTATTCAAATCTTTCTCAAAGATCTTTCTCTCACTTGACAAAAGTTGACAGAAGTCAACAGGAAGGGTTGTCTCCCCTCCACCACCCCTCAAAAACAGTAGATATGGAAACATCTTAGAGCAGAAGACTTTTTGAGGGGATTTTTTTAGACTCTTTTTTTTTATAGTGTATTATTCACACTGGGAATCATAACACTTCATTGTGCCAACATGTAAAAAGATCATGTATCCAAAAAAAAGCAGAGGAGAAATGCACTATCAGTGACCTAGTTCTTGGTCACTGGAAGAGGCTGCTGTTGAGTAAAACATCGTGGGCAGACTCAAAGGTCAGCACCTCCTTGTGGAACTTGGTGAGCTGCATCTTTATTTTCTTCAGGGCAGGAGTTGTTGCCTTTCTCTTGTATCTCATGTCATTCAAAAGTTTATCTGCCAGGTAGTGCAGCCAGAGGACGTTGCTGTGAGGGTGATAGTCTGTCCAGCAGTTGGAATTCTCCGCTTTCATCTGCCTGTAGATGTCAAACTGATAGTCCCCTGTGCCTTGGAACAGCTCCTCATCCGTGGAGAGGTCACAGAACACGGTCAGCCCGTCCTTCTCCAGCCGGGACAGGGTGTAGTCGATGATGTTGATGTGAATCCCTGCTGTGGGGATCGTGTGTGTTGTCCCATTCAGCACATAATGAAGTTCCTTTGCGTCTGTTTTTTTTACCAGCACGTTCCCCCAGTGCAGGTCCCTGTGCTCGAAGTGCAGCTCCTGCTCTGCCACGGCCAGGGAGGCAGTGACCTGGTGCAAAATGCTTTTTGCTGATTGCACTGAGGAGAAACTGCACCTCTCGTGCTCCAAGTCACTGCCTCCAAATTCAAACTCCAGAACCATGAAGAGCTGCTCGTCCCCAAAAAGGTCTGGCCGGTCGTTTTCTGATCCCGTTTTTTTGTGGTATTTGTCCCAGGCTTCCAGGAGATACTTGGGATAGGCCCCTTGGACACAGTGCACAGAGTACAGGCTGATGAACCCAACAGTCCTATTCACAGATTCCTCAGACAGAAGACTGAGTTCTTTTGAAATTATTACCTCAGGCAGAATCTCCCCAAAGCTCTTTTGAGCTTCACCATTTACTTTCTCAGTCCCTTCAATGGGAATTATTTTTAGGGCCACGGGTCCTCTCTCACTGTTGATCTGGAACACCTCTCCAAACACCCCTTCTCCAATTTTCTTGCAATCTTTCATCTTATCTAAAGGAATGCATTCCTCAAAAGCAATGGGCCCTTCCTGGTGGCATTCCCCAAACACCTTCTCTGCGTCTGTAAGCATCAGCTCCAGGACAGAGGAATCCCTGGGAGCCAGCAGGATCATGGAGGAGGCGGACCAGGAGCAGCCCTGAGCCCTCCCAGCCGACAGGCTGGCTTGGTACCCTGACAGCTGGGATCTCCCTGCCGGGGTGCAGAGGATGCTGCTGCAGAAACTGTCCTCAGTGGTCACTCTCTTCTTCTTATGGAAGGACAGGGACGCTCGAACTCTGGCCCAGGAATACGAGCTATTGAGGAGTGAACAGTCATTATCTCTTACATCTACAGACATCTCCCTCTGCGCTCGTTTTTGCTTTGCCTGTGGTCTGAGGAAGGAGTTGATAGGCTGTTGCTGCCTCTTGTTTTTGCGCCTTTTTGGGCGGAGCCTCGGGTGCCTCCCCCAGCGGCTGGCGCTGAAGCCACTGATACAGGCTTTCCTGCAGGTGCTGCCCTCTCCAGAGCCTTGGAGAGGCTTAGTCCTTTTATATTTACTCTCCAAGGTTCCTGGGCGGCCCACAGGAGATTCTGGCTGCTGGCAGGTGGGTTGAACATCAGCCTTCTTGTTGAGCTTCATGCTCAGCATCCTCCTTGGTACCTCCTGACGGTCCAAGACCACCACTGGCACAAGCTGGTACCGCTCGGCTGGGCCTGTGTGACAACTCGAGCTCCCTTTTGCTGAGTCTCTGGTGAGATGCTCACGCGGCCCATCAGAAGCGGCACCGTCGCAGGGCGCAGCGAGCCGTGCCTCACCCTGAGCGGGCGGCGAAGCGCTTGGGGCTTTCTGTGGGATCGGGGCAGCTTGTGCCCAGCAGGGTTCCCCCCGCACCGACGACCTCAGCACACGGCGGGGCTCCTGCAGACCCGGGTCGGGCTCAGCGCTCTTGTGTAAGATCCACTCCTCCTCCTCCTCCTCCTCCACGGCGCTGTCCGCGCCCCGCAGCGCCGGGCGCTGCCCCGAGCGATGCCCCGAGGGTGGCGGGTGGTGCTCCAGCCCCGATCCGCTCTCTATGGTGGTGCTGAGCAGGAGCGGGGCGAGCCGGACCTGCGGGGCGCGGCCGCGGGGGCGGCGGGGCGGGGGGCTGTCCCCGAGCCCCGAGCACGACCCGGAGCCGCCGTCGGTGGCGGAGCTGAACAAGACGAGGCTGCCGGCGGCGGGCGGGGCCGGGCGGCGGGGCCGGGCCGGGGGCGGCCATTGCGGGGTGCTGCACAGCAGCGGGGCAGCGGCGGGGCACGGCGGGCCCTGCCGGCGGCGCCGGGCACGGCGCGGCGGGGACGGGGAGGGCGAGGAGAGGGACGGGGAAGACGAGGAGAGGGACGGGGGGTGCGAGGAGAGGGACGGCTCCGGCTCCCGGTTCTCCTTCCCCCGCGTCTCCCGCCTGCGGTCCCGCAGCCGCCGGGCCCAGGCCCGGCGCTTACCCCCGGCCCGCGGCCGGCAGTCGCTGGGCGGCAGGAAATCCGGGTCGTCCTCCGAGCGTGCGGACAAGGCGCTGGAACCGGCCGAGGTGGAGCTGAAGAGGCGCTTGCGGTCCTGCGGCGGCGAGATCCAGCGGTCGGGCGGCTGCAGCGGGCGCAGGTACCCGGCGCGGCGGGAGTAGGTGCGGAGGAGGCGCGGCCGCGGCAGCATCGCGGGGAGGGAGGGAAGGAGGGAGGGATGGAAGGAAGGAAGGAGGGAGAGGAGGATCCCCGGGCCGGGGGGAGCGCGCCCGCCGCCCGTTCAAACCGCTATCGCGAGAGCGCGCGAGAGCGCGGCGGGGGCCGCCGCACCGGGGCGGGGCCAGGGGAGGACACGCCCCCTTGACCACGCCCCCCATCCCGGTCTTGGTACTGGTCCTGGTCCTGGTCCTGCTCTCCCGGAGTGTCCCGGCGGTGCTGGCACCGGGCGCTGCTGTTAGACAGACTCGGTCTGCTGCCTTTCAGAGCCCCCGGCATGGGCGGTGCCAGCTCTGCTCCATCCAGGCTCGCAGGACTGGCTTTGCACGTGTGTTCTGTACATGCTCAGACGTGTGTGTATATGTAGACATGTATTTATACATGTGCATATGTGTATATATATATATGTATGCATGTGTTCTATACATGTCCATACATGTATATATGTACACATGTATCCTATACACGTGCATACATGTATATATGTATATGTGTTCTATACATGTGCATACATGTATATGTGTGTATATATGTATACATATATTGTATACATGTGCATACATGTACATATATATGTATATATGTTTATACCTGTATTCTACACCTGTGCATTCATGTATATATATATCTCTACATGTATTTATACATGTGCACACATGTGCATGTATGTGTATACATGTGTTCTATACATGTGCATAGAATGTAATTCTATATTACATTTTTATAGAATGTGTATGTATATGTGTGTATATATATGTGTGTATATTACATTTTATAGAATTCTATACATGTGCGTAGAATATAATGTGTGTGTGTTCATGTACCCATGTGCTCAACACGTGTGTACAGAATACACGTGTCACTTTACTGAGACGGTGATGAGGCCCTGGTGCAGGTTGCCCGGGGAGGTTGTGAATGCCCCTGCCCTGGCAGTGCTCAAAGCCAGGTTGGATAAGTCCTGGAGCAACCTGGTCTAGTGGGAGGTGTCCCTGCACATGGCAGGGGAGGTTTGGGAGTAGGTGATCTTTTAAGGTCCCTTCCAACCCCTCACCATTTAATGGTTCTGTGTTTACATGTGTGTATGTGAATACAGGTGTTCTACACATGTGAAAATACACACATATTTTCCATGCACGTGTGGTTCTGTTTCCCACCCCCCCAGAGCAACAGGGAAGTTTTATTCATGGAGCTGTCTCCTGGGAGGCACTCAGTGCTTAGCAGAGGTGCTGCAGCTCTCCTGCTTCCTCCCGAAATTGCTCCTTGTGCAGTGACACAGAGCACTCCAGGCTTTGGTCGCTCCTGGTAGCCATAACTCAGGCTATGGACATGGGACACAGCTTGGTGGCAGCACAGGACTGTGTGGTTCTTGCAGTCTGAGTGAGGCTTTGCTGAAAAGCAGCTGAGGTTTCGTTCCTTTTATTTCTTTTTCCATAGTTCTTAAAAAGCAGAACTGTTCTGCTGGTCCCTGGAAAAATTACCTTGAGCAGAGGACTCGATTGGGGTCTGAAAGAAGAGGTGTGAGGATCACACAGGCAGCTGGGCCCTTCTGTTGGGGCAGGAACAAGTGGGACATCCTGGTGGTTTTACTGAGTCTAGAGAACTGATCAAGTCCCAGAGTTAAATTCTGGACCTTTTGTTCTGCCACTGAGTTTAGTGAAATCAGTTTTTGACTGTAGGACAGAAGGAGAGGGAGGATATTTGCTAGTGCAGATCAGAAAAGCTTTTAGGGTACTTTATTGAACTCTGTATTGATGCAGCCAACACAGAGGCCTCCTGTCCTCTCAGGGATTTCAACATCAATATTCCCTCTCTTTCCCAAGAATGGACACTTGGTAGTGTTCCTATCCCTATTTGTGTGGTTGTTTTATTTCTGTTGTCTTTACTTGACCATAAATCCCACAGATCTAATGTGTTTATAGACAGCAGTAGATTAAACAAAGATTACTCATTCAGACCTTCAGAAGACAAAAAAGTTCCCGTCTCCTTTGGTTTGACCAATATTGTCTGATGCAAAACTAACAAGCAATCTTTCTCTCCTTTTTTTTCCCCATAATTTCTTCTCTGAATTAAGTTTCCCTGATTACTTGGATCCCTTTTGTTGTCCCTGAAGGCTCTCAAGGAGGTCAGCTCTTGCAGTGGGTAATGCTGTTTTCCTTTTTAGATGTTTTTTCTTAAATGCATTACAGAGTTCTGTGACTTGTAATTTCCGGTGAGTGCCATCGGACCATTTAATTCTTTGCAATCACTGCAGCAGCTGCCAAACACATTTGCAGTAATTGGATGGCACTTAAGGGATTAGCCAAGACTGCCAAGACTCAAGTCATCCAAACCACAGCTGGGTTTTTGTGCTGTTTCCATGGGAGCCTTGCTGTGTCGGCTTCTAAATTTATTTGCAATCTGCATTTTGAATCACATCCCCTGTGCAAAAGCCTTGTCAACATTTGTGGCCTCTCTGCCTGGCCCTGACTTTTGTGCTCTCTGGCAGTGGCACAGTTATGGCACCTCCCTGAATGACAGAAAATTTGCAAATGCCCCTTCCAGAGTCGTTGAACATCCGACCCCAGCCAGGTTTAAGGTGTTGGCAGCTGTTTGGGGTCCCGGTGTCATGGGCAGAGAAGCTGCTGCAGATGTTCCAGAGGCCTCTGAGCTGTCAGGATGGTTCATGACCTTTATGCAAAGGTGGCAGAGGGTTTGCAGAGCCACAGCTTCTTGGTTTCACCACCGTGGGCCCCATCACGTATTCAGCCTCATGTTTCTTCACTGTTTTGTGCTTCCCATGGGAGGGCAGGATGTGTTTTGTGATGCTGCTTTAATCAGGGATGACACCAGCTGCTTATGTCTTTCCCATATGCCAGGAAGACGCCCAAACCTTGGGTTATAATTCCATCAGTGTGCTCAGAAGCTGCTGGGTTCATGTTGGAACTGAGGGAATGCCATGGCCTGGTGGCAGCAGGAGAAAGGGAGCTCTGCTGCTCAGGAAAGCTTAGCAGGAAAAGGGCATCAGTAGTTCTTCATTATTAAGTGCAGGGTGCTGACATGAGAACATCAGATAGGAGAGCTTTGCTGGGCTCGGGAGCCTGTTGGGGCAGCTTTATTTGGAGGTAATTGAATTGCAGCTCAAAAGAGACATTTCCTGTCCTTTATTATAACAGGGTGAGTGAGCTGGAATGATACTGCCCTGCCACAAGCAGATTCCTTTGACCCTCTCCCTCCCAGCTTGGCTAAACTGGCTCCAGTAGGTCTGTGCAGCACAGCTGGGACACTTCAGCCTCTGCCATCAGCAGGTCTAAGGTGAGCTCAGGTGCCAAGCTGAGGGGGCTGCTCAGGAAACCTTTTCCTCTGGGAGTCAGGTCTGAGCAGCACCTGTGTTTCCCTCTGGCTGGAAGGAGTTACCACTTGGTAATTCCAGGGAGGAAAGGACAGAGGCCTCAGTCTACACTTTCTACCTGTTTCCTTGAGGAAGGTGAAGGAAGGGGATGAAGTTTTCTCCTCAGCATTTGCATCAAGGTAAGCTCTGATAGGGGTATCAAGCCAGGACCAGTTTCTTGTCTTTCCAGGTCAGGAATGACATGTGTTGACAAAGTAAATACTGATCTGTCTGGTGTATTCAAGAGCAGGGCCTCACCTTTAAATCAGTGGTTCATGTGAATACACATTTTATTAACACATTCAACTTTCAGGCTTGGATTCAACATTCCCTAATTTCCCAATGATGCTTTTATTGGCTGACTTCAGAAGGTGAATTCATTGCAACACAGCACTGCACAGCTCTGCTATCACTGCACTCAGTCTCTGAGCAGTGTTTTATGTGCACTTTTCTTTAATTCCTGTTGCCTAATTCAGTGCCAGCACTGTCACAGAACAGGGCATGATGGCTTGGCTTCATTAGATGTGCAATATTTTTCCTTCCTCTCTGTTCCTCTTCCTCCAGCACTTTCTTGGGTTGGGGGAGAGGAGTGGGTAAATGTTCCAGCTAATAATAACAACACTCCTACACGCTGCAGAGGAGATTCAAGACTTGGGGAATAACCTGGAATGCATTCAAAGGCTGTAAATGGCTCTCCTGGAAGTGGAGAGCTGAATCAAGGACTGAATATGTTCTGGAACTTCAGAACTCTTCCAGTTCTCACTCCTACAGACAGTTCAGGATGCTCCTGTGGATAATGACAGATTCTTTCCACAAATTCCCTTTCCACTGTGGCTGGGTGTGCAGCTGTGCTAGTTAGGAGGACAAACACAGAGGCTGATTTACCCTGCAAAGTCACAGTGAGGGTTGCAAGAGAAGCTGAACAGAGCATTTTTCACTGTGGGCTGCACACACATTTCTTTTTTTTTACATCCAAACCCATCACCTTCAGAAAGCAGCTCATGCTTGATGGTACTGATTTCCATGTGTTTCTGTGTGTATGAGCTGTGGTTTGAAAGCAGCTTCCTCTTTCAACCTGTTCAACCCTTCACCTTGTTTTTTTGTCGATGTTGACTTACAAGTATGACAGTATGAGAAGAAACCACTAATGGAGAGAGCTGCCCTTCCCACTGTTCATTTCCTTGCCAAAATAGCTTGTCTCCTATTTACATCCTCTCCTCCTCGTCTCTCTGCTATTTCAGTAGCTGGTCTGGCGCCTGTTTCTGAGGGATGATGGACCTGCATCACTCAAACATTTGCTGCAGGAGCATTTCAGTGCTGGAGAAATGTCTCAGCGTTTATGAGTCAGCCCCGTGCCTTTGGGAGCTGATGGTTTCTGTTGCACTTGACAGTCATTGAAGGGTGGAGTGGGAATCATGGAGAGAATTGATGCCTGGGGGGTGACCATTTGGCACTGGAAGTGAACAAGACAAGTGCCTAAAACAGGCACCTCCAGGAGGCAGGGCTCTCTGCCACTGCCTGGAAAGCATCTGGTCTTATTTGGGTGTAATTTAAAGATATTACTGGGCTGATCTTGAAATCTTTCTATGCTACACTATCATAGAGACAGAGGTGACCTTACTGTGTTTCAAATGCCCCTGGATCAGGGCAGGGGTTTAAAGTTTAATTTCCACAGTCCCTTAATGTGGCATTTGCAGCCTCCTGAGCGAGCTGAGATCAGCTCCAGGGCAGCTTAACACCAAGGAGCTGCTGACAGGTGGTGGGAAAGTAGGTGAGGAGCAGTCTGGGCAGGCAGGGATGTCATTAGTCACATGTACTGACAGGATACATGAGACAATCACTGTGAACAGTGTGAGGAATTAAGTACAGGTGTAACATGTCAGGAATAAAAAATTAAAAAAGGGGCAGTTTCAGTCCTGTTTGTGATTCCCCCTGTGAGAATTTTGGGGCTGAGAAAACACCACTTACAGGAATGGAGCAGAACCATTTTTTTTTTCATGGGAAATTCAGAGTGTGGGACTCATAAAGGAAGAGATCTTGCAGGGAAGATCCAGCCTCAGTCCCTTGAGAAGGACTAAGAGAAACTACAATTTTTTTTATCTTTCACTGGTGATGCTTAGACTTTGTTAGGTTATTTACTTCCCCTGCTGCGAATGAAACTGCTTATGTTTGAACACCCAAAGACACTTCAAGAAACACACCAGCAGACTTGATTTCCAGGCAAGAAAGTGATGAAAACGATATTTGTGAGAGCGTCCAAAAAAGTACCAGCTAAGTTGTTTTTGCAGCTCAGCAGCAGCAACAGCTTTGTCAGCAAAAATTTAGCTTGTACTGAGCAGTATGCAGAATATTCTGAGGCACATTTGATAGAAGTTGAAACTTTTTGTTCCAAAACAGCTATTGCAACTGTGCTCCTACTTGATGTTTAAAAAGAACCAAGAAAAGTATCAGGTTTCCATACTCTTTTTTTATTGTAGTGATCAAACCTGGTTGACATCTTGAACAGAACAGAACACTTCTCACTCTAAGGAACATTTTTTTCTAACCTGTGTAAATCTTTTCTCAGATTAATTGACCTGGAAATTATTACAAAGACTCAGAGCAGACCTGTGTCTGTGCCACCAAGTAAAACCAGGCTGGGAGGTAAAACACTGTTTGACTGCTGGCAGGTTTTGTGGTCTGATCTCAGTCTGTGCAGTCCCCAGACAGATGAGGAAGATGGAGATGAAAAAGGGGGGTCTTGAGACACCACCAAGGGCTGAATTGTCTCCTCTGGTGCTTAATTTGTCCATGAACTTGTGTGTCCTTAGCGTAGCAGGAGAGATGGTGGAGGCAGCCCTGAGCCATGGGATACCCTCACTCTTTAGTCCTGTCCCTGGAGCAGATCCAGCAGGGCCAGGGCATGCAGGGGGTGTTCCTGTGGGACCAGACCCACGGTCAGAAACGATGCTTGGCTGTCACATCCTTGCAAAAGGTCTCATCTAGGGGCAGATTGAGCAGGAGATCAGGTGGTGGCTTCTTTAGGATGCTCCTGTCTCCATCCAGCTCTGGTTCCTGGAGCTGGGTCAGTCTCCCTGAGCTCTAACTTGGCTCTGGGGTTTGGGCAGTGGAGAGGGAAGACAGGCTGAGCTTACTTTTCATCCTTACTCGTTTCTGGATTCATGGACCACTGTGGTCTCCTTCCTTTCTGCAGGAGCGTGTTTTCAATGAGGGTTTTGTATTATTTGGTTACTGCATGTTTTAGGATTTTATTTGTGCTTCAGGCTTTCACACAGAGGACCTTTAAGACTGGATCTAGTGATGGTCTGGTCTGTAGGAATCTGGTAAGGAGCAGTGGGTGCAATGGCCAAATACGGATCAAGGAAGAGGTAAAGCATGGAGAACAGATGCTTGAGAGGGAAAGAGGGCTCCAGGAGGGGCTTCAGGAGCAGCCAAAATGCTTTGTGAGCAAAGAGGGGCTGCCCCTGGGGGGAATGCAGGTAGGGAAAGGAGGGGTCATGGTAGTGGGAGAGATGAGCAGGACCAGCCCTCAGCTTGTGCTGAGGCTGAAGGGTGGCTGCAGTGTTTGGGAGCGGGGTTGGGGCTGTCCCTGAGCCAGGGGTGGCCTCTCCCACCCCTTGGGCACACGTGGTGGAGTGGATGGGAGGTGCACAGGAGTGGGGGACTCATTCCCTGAGCAGCCCTTCACCCCAGGAGCCCCTTGTGACAGAGCCAGTGCAGAGTGGGGCTGGGGCTGGGGAGTGCAGCAGCCACCGGGTTAAAAGGAGGCCACAGGCAGGTTTGTGCTCTAATTTTGCAGGTGCTGGAGAAAGGCTTCTTTCACTTTGCAGAGAAACTCTAGGGATGGCTCTGGCCTGAGGCACAAAATGAGTGTTTTGTTCCTTATTATGCTGTTTGTGATTCTCTCGTGATTTGGAGCAACCTTGTCACACACACGTTCATTAAAAATCAGATCTAGCTGGTTAGATTTGATATGGAATTTAAGGAAGATGAAGGACAACATTTTCATAAAACCTGAGATCTTGAGAATGATTCTCCCAGGGAAGAGAATTTGGCAGGGGAGCACTACAATTGGCAGTACTAGTAATGACTTTATTGTTACTAATAGAAATAAAAGGAGATACAGGAGCACAGTAACTGTTAATGGCAAACAAAGGTAAATTACAGGAAATTATATTCCTCCAAATGAGTTTAGCCAAGTTTCTGGCTCCTTCTGTAATTCATTGCTGCAGTGAGCTGGGGAGCAAAGGCAGCTGCTGTGTCATGGTTGGACCATCAGTGGCCTTGTGCTGTTGGTCCGCAGTGACTGAGGATGGAATTGGGGCAGCTCCAAAAGCTCCAGAGCCTCATAAAACTGAGAGTTGGGTCTTTAGCTGTCAGAGGGTGACAGCCTTTGGGGTAAGGTGTGACTGGCCTGGCTGGGAACCTCTTGCCCACATTGTTTCCTGAAACAAAACCAGCCTGCTTGCCCCGTCTGCCACCTGTGCTTGTTTCCTCAGGTCCAGTTTTAAGAAATTATTGTCCATGATGATTGTTCCTTAACCACATGCAGAGTTCATTTATTAGTTCCTTAATTTGGGGATTTGGTGGGTTTTCGTAGTAACCAGGCAGATATTTTGGATTACTCTCAAGGACCCCAGTACACATGTGAATGTTTAAGAAATTAAAAATTTAACCCCATGCTTTGTCATCCTGTAAAGGCTGAAGAAAGGCTTTAATCCTTAGCACTGAGAGACTGTAACTGCATCACCTTGGATGCTGCAACATGGTCTCATGCTATAACGTGTTTCATTCTAAACATTTTGTGATGGACAGGAGCCTGGGGACAAAACTGATGGGCGCAGGGGGGTTTCCCCAGGGGATGAATCAGCTGGAAAGCAGCTCAGGAAGGATCTGATCTTAGCGCAGCTGCTGGTTTGTGAGCCGAGAGCTGCCGGGGAGCAGCTGACAGGAGGGAGGAGATCAGAGCGAGGGGTTGGTGTGTCGGGTTTCCAGGCAGGGCACGTGTGGGGAGCGAGAGCTGCGAGCGCTGCTCCAGCCTCCGGAGGGCGGCGAGCCGGGACCATGGGGCAGGTGGCTTGGAAGGCTTTGTTCCTGTCGCTTTTTGACTATAAAACGGAGAAATACGTCATTGCCAAGAACAAGAAGGTGGGGATCCTCTACAGAGTGGTGCAGCTCTCCGTGCTGGCTTACCTGGTGGGGTAAGGATCACCCTGTGTTTCACGTGCTGCTGGGGTTGCCTTTGCTTGCTGTGCTGTGTAAAGATCAGTGTGGGATACTCTGCACACAGAGACAGCCTGCTGTGCCTCCTGGTTTTAGTGCAGACAGCTAGGCATGTTGGTACAGCTGGATTTTGTAATGTCTAGTAGGTTATATCTGATTTTTCACCTGCTAGGGATCACTAGATTCGGCTCTACCTTTCAGATTAAGGTCTGGTTAAAAATAGCCCCAGTGCCATTGTGGCTTTGTACTGCATTATTTATACCTTTATTTCTGTATTCGGTGGGAATGGTGCCAAACCTTAACACCTGACTCATTAGGAACAGTAGCATTTATGGCCATGGTGCTGAGCCTTGGGACACACCTGGGTTATCTGCAGGGCAGCATGACATGCTCAAGCCTAAACAGGAGGGAACCCAGCAGAAAGTGGGAGATTTCTTTGCTGGAGTGGGCTGCAGCAGCCGGGACTGTGGGGGCTGAGGCAGCGGGAATGTCGGCTGCCTTGCATTCATTTCAGAGCAGGGCGAGCTGGCATGGAAATAGCTGGAGCAGCACTCAGGAAAGGCCCAGTTCTCTAAGAGGCTGGTCACACTGACATGTAATGGGCACAGTGATAGTCCTTGCAGGCTCAGACCCGGAATTATCCAACCTATGTGATGCCTGTGCCATCGCTTCCTGACTTTCTGAGGCTTTTCAGAATGTGATACCCAAGTCTGTACCCTCTTTGTGCTTCTGAGTCCCTTCACCTTTCTTGCACCTCGTGTTTTCACTGATTAAATATAGCAGAGTCATTTTTACGTGCTGGGTTTATTTATAGAAGGCTGTGCAGTCCCAGAACCTGCTCTAGTGAGCAGAGCACGGGTGAAGTCTCAGCAGTCTGGCACGGACTGGCTGCTAAAGGAGCAATCCTGTGGATAACACTGCCGAGGACATATCCTCTGTCCAAGAGGAATCCTGCATGACCAGTGGCTGTGAGTGCACAGAGACTGGCTATTTTCCTCCCTTGGCATCTATTGCCTTCTGCAAACCCTTGGCACTGATGGTCCCTGCAGTGACTCCTTGGCTGGGGTTACGGCTCAGGGACATGTACCTGTTCAAACACTGGCTTGGGGTGGGGATCATCAAACCCCTCTGGATTGTTTCCTGCCACTGCCATTTCTTCCTGCAGCTGCCATTTCTTCCACCATTCGCTGCAGAAAATAAAGGTCTGCTTTTGAGCCCTCCTGGGAGAGGAAATGAACATTCTTGGGAAAATGGGAAAGCAGGAAACTTCACAGGGGTGGCGAGTGTTGTTATCCAGGTTTGTCACATGTAGCAGGTGAGGGGCAGTGTTGCCAGTGCTGCTCAGCCTGGGATGGCCCTTTCCCTCCCTGAGTCAGGTCAGTGCACTGCCAAGGGGAGCTGTGCCAGCAGAGCCAGCCTGTGTCCCTCTCTCAAAACCTGCCCCAGCACCCTCAGCTTCTTCAAGGGTCTGAGTGGTTTGTTGTCCTGGCAGGTGATTTCGGCAGTGTTGTGGGGAAGCTGGAAGAATTTCATTTAAGCCAGAGGTTTTCATCCAAGGAAATGGAATTCTTGCTGCTTCCAGTGGGGAGAAGTAAGCAAAGCCTTTCCTTGGACTGCTTGGCAAGGCAGCAGCAGCTCTCCCAGGTGTGCAGTTGGGTTGTTACCATGACACCGGCTTACAAAAGATCCTGTATCCAGATGAGAATATTCCCTACAGGTTAGGAGTATCCAGCTCACCTGCAGGAGTTGCATCTCCCCAGCCATGGATTGTTGCTGACTGGCAGCCCATGGCAGGGGCTAAAGTGGGAGAGTTGTGCACTTGTGAAAACAGCCACACTCTTCACTGCAACCTGCAAAAGCTTGTTTCATTTCTGATCTCGAGGAAGGCACAGCCCTGTCCTCCCTCTTTCCTTTTCTGAGGTTGCTGAGTGTAGCACAGGACAGTGAGGTGGGAGGCTTTGGTTTTTTACCTCATGACCAGTTGTTACGTATTTCCCTGCTGTGGATAAGCACAGCTTGTGTCAAAGAGTTTATTCTATATTTGTGGCAGCAGTTGCAGAGGGTTTGGTGTCATTGGCATGCTTGGATTTACTCTTGAATGGGATTTGACCTTTGTGTGAATCTCCTCTGGTTGACTTGTTTCCTGAACACCCCCCTAATGCTGCTGCCTGCTGTGTTCACACAGGTGGGTGTTTGTTGTCAAGAAAGGCTATCAGGACACAGACACATCTCTCCAGAGCTCTGTCATCACCAAGCTGAAAGGGGTGGCCTTCACCAACACCTCGGAGCTGGGGGAGAGGCTGTGGGATGTCGCAGACTACGTCATCCCTCCACAGGTTGGCATCACCCCGTTGCTGTTTTCTCTGCCACTCGGCTTCCAGCACAATTGAAGTGATGTATCCAGGTCTTCCCTGTGGATAAACAGGAGTTGGGCCACAAGAAGGCAAAGCTGGGCCTTCTCTTAGGTCTTTCCCGCAAATACTAAAGCAACTCGGTTTCTCAGGTCTGTGATGTTTGGGAAGCAGAAATCCCGTGGATTTCTCAGCTGAGCAGTGTCTGCTCACCTCTGCTCCTGGATTAGAACAGGTGTGCACAGAGCAGGGGGAGATGGAAAGAAAATGTGGTGCAATTAAGAGTGATGAGGGTTGCTGGAAACGTGTCTGGTTAAACCTGCCCTGCTGCTTCCTTGGCTTGGACACAGTGAGATGCACAGGGGAGAGGTGGCAGCAGATGTGGCCCAACACCAGTTGGAATTTGCCCAGCTGTGCTTGCCAGGGGCAGTTGTGCTTTCCCTGCATGGAAGGGTGTGAGGGGAAAACCAGAGTCCTGTGCTGACAGGGCAGAAAGCTATAAATTGAACAATTTAACTGCCTGTACATAAGAATAAAACTTCCCTTCCTCCTGCTGCACTCCCCAGACCTGTGACTGTGCTCTCTGCTTCCACCAGTTTCAGTGCAGCAGGAGGGTTGGGAAGGTGCTTGTGGTGCCTCAGTCCCAGCCTTGGGGACGTTGAACAAGTGGCTGGGGTGCACACCCGGGGATGAAATGGTGGCACTGACCAGAATTTTAACTTGCCAGATGTTTCTCCTGTCCCTCAATGGTCTTGTTACTGCATGTTGGCTTGCTGGGAAGCCTTGTAGTGTGGTGGGCTGAGTGAAGAGAGCCAGCTCTGCCCCTGGGCTGCTGTGCTGTGCCACCCAGCCATGGCTGGGCTGTGGCTTCAGGAGCACAACTATTGTGCCCCGGTGTCCACCTGCCTCCAGCAGCCTCAGGGGTGTTAGACCATGTTAGACCATGGGCTCACAGTGATGCCTGTGGGCTGTGAGACCACAAAGCCTCACAAGCTTTCCTGCCCCATGTGTGAATTGGTGTTTCACTGCCGCACGTCTCAGCTCAGCCGTGAGCTGCATCCTGCCTGGGTTTTGAGGAGTTCCTAAATGCCTCCTACCAGTGCACTGAGTGCTCTGCTGACTGCTGTGTGATCTCTGTAATGTCACTTGGGGCAGAAGGGTCCTGGTGGGTCTGGGTGGGCTGGTTTGTGCTGGAGAGACCTGGGTAGTGGAGCAGGAGGCAGTGAGGGCTGGGAGGAACCCTGTCTCCTCCAAGCTCTGTTCTCACAGAGAGAAACCCGAGATCTCTGATTTTTATCTGCAACAGGCAGGGCCGTGTGTTGGAAGGGGGTTTCTGTGGCGGGTGTGGGGTTTTTGTGCGAGGTGCTCAGGGCTGCCCTGCCTCCCCCCAGGACCCTGGGCGGGCTCTCATGGTTGTGTGTGCACCCACAGCAGGAGGGACCTCATCCAAACAAATATCCAGACAAAGGGTGCTGTTGTATCTCAGCCTGAAAGCCCTCTGAGGAGAGGGAGGTTGTACTCTTCTGCAGAGAGCTGCATCCTCCTTGTAACAAGTACTTTGAAAATAAACCAGGTTTTCTGACCCTTCCTGCTTTGCTCTGTTTATTTTAGGGTGAAAGCGTCTTCTTTGTCATGACGAATCTGATCGTGACCCCAAACCAGAGACAAGCCACCTGTCCTGAGGTAGGAAGAACTGAGCCCCTTGGCCCCCAGACCCCTACAAAACCAGGGGTAAGAACTGACAGAGGACTCCTGGGGAGCAACGACCAGAGGAAGGACAGAAGGCGAACGGTTTTTCTCTGTAGTGTGATATCTCAGTTGGGAAACCAGACTGGTTACTGCAAACCTGGGAGGCTCAGCTGTCTTAATTTCCAGAGGCACTGATCGTGTAGAGCCTTCCCAACTTGAGGTGAAGGTGTTGGATTTCTGCCCAAACCAGGCAGTGATTGCTCAGGGTCAGAGAAGGCCGTGGGAAAACAGCTTGGAGGTGACTCAGGGTAGTTACGGGTAGAGGAGACTCTCTAAGAGCCCCATCCTGGGAAGGGCTGAACACTCAGGCTTTCATTACCTTCCAGACACAGGAGGGTTCTTAGCACCTTCCAGAATGTGCCCTGTGGGCCAGAGGTGTGAGAGGTCTTTATGTCACTCGGAAATGTCCTCTGTGGAGACGTGGCTGGGAAGGAGCTGGAGCCTGGGGAGGAGGGCGCTGGCAGTGCAGGGAGCGCTCTGTCCCTGTGGCAGAGGTGGATTTTCCAGGGTCGGGAGCACAGCTGGATTGTCGAGGACACGGCTGTCCCCTAGTGGCTGCAGGAACCCACCGTGCAGCCGGGAGAGGGGCAGTTTTGGGCTGGAGAGCTTGTGGCTTAGATCCCCGAGGTGAGGTTATCTCTTAGGGTGGAGCACCGTGGTCTCCAGCCTGGTTTTGGTGAGTGCCAGGTAATGTCTGGGTTTTTTCACAGTCTGTCCCTCTCCAGACTGAGCAGAACCCAAAATCAGGACCGTGTGTGAATCCTGGTGTTCCTGGTGGTGTGATATGCTGAGCTCTTTGCATGACCCACAGTTACCACTTCAGCTGCATCTTTTTAGTGTTCATATTGAAAGGGAGTAAACAATGTTAGCTTGAATTTTAATAAATAGCTTCAACCTTGTAACTTTGTAGTTCTTACTTAAACATTGGTTAATGATGGAAAGAAGGAATTAGAGAGATTAGCAAAACGTGCAGCTGTGTTCAGTGACCTGTACACCCCAGAGACCTAAAACAACAGAAGATTGTTTAGGTAGACAAAACTAAATCAAGTTATCTTTAACTAAAGATTTGATGTTGATGTTTTGTAAAAATAAGATATGAAACTATTTCAAGGATTGTTAGGTAGAAGAAATTTAGGTTGTCTTTAACTAAAGATTGATGCTGATGCCTTGTAACAGTAAGACTGTCGGGGAGGGGCTTGGGATGCTAAAGTGCAGAAATGCTCGTGAAATCTTTGTTTCAACATAGAGAATTCCCCTCACAGCAGCAGCACTTTCTAACCCCTCTGAGTCCTGTGTCCTGTTGCAGGTCTCACTTCTGTCCTCAGAGTTCTGTGATTCTGATCCTGTGATTCTCTTGCACTTTGCAGAGTGCCAGCATTCCCGATGCCCTGTGTCACAAGGACGAGGACTGCCTGGAAGGGGAAGCAGTGGTGGCTGGCAATGGTAAGGGAAGGGTCCTTCCTCCTGTTCTGTGTTTGGTGTCCTTCAGAGGCCTCAGCCTGGTTACACTCCCAGAGGTCTCTGATTACAGAGAGCAGCAAAGCCTTTCCTTTCTTTACTATCTTTCATTGAGTTGCTGCCTTGCTTACAGCTCTGCGGTGGCTGGGCCAGGGCACCCCGGGCTGCTCAGAGAAGCAACAAGAGAGTGTTTGTTCCAGCTGAGAGGCCCTTTCACAGCAGGGAGGAGAGAGAAAATCATCTATTTTCATGTGCCCTGTAGGCAAGGAGAGGAGGTGACTGCTCTGTGTGACCTTTTCTGTGTGTCTGCTCGCAGGGGTTAAGACTGGCCGTTGTTTGAAAGACAGGGACAGCACCAGAGGGACTTGTGAGATACTGGCCTGGTGCCCAGTGGAGAAAAGATCCAAGCCCAAGTACGTGGCCATCCTATCCTGTTTCCAAGCTTGAGTTGCTTGGCTTGTGTGTCACTCAGGGCAGTTTCTGTGTTCCCTCTGCTTGGGTGCTTGCTGAATGTTGGCTGTTCAGGGCAGGAGGGAGCTCTGCAAGGCCCCCCCTGGCAGGACTGGCCCTCTGCTCCCCCTGCTTGGCTCACTGGCTGTCCCAGGGCTGTTCCCAGCTCTCAGGGTGTCCCCTAAACCTGCACCCTCCTCACCAACTCCTTGCTGGCAGTGTGGGAAAAGTGGCATGGCTGGCCTGGTGCCATCCAACCTATTGGATGAGGCTGCTTCTAAAATGGCAATTTGAGATTTAGCATGTGGGCAGGGTACAAATCTAAGACAGAGAACAAACCCTTCTTTTCCAGGAAACCACTTCTTGGCAGTGCAGAAAACTTCACTGTTTACATCAAGAACTCAATTCGTTTCCCCAAGTTTAAGTTTTCCAAGTAAGTGCAGGTGCTCAGAGATCCCTCTGTCCTCTCCACCATGGAACCAATAACCTCTGTTTGCTCCACCGTCCTTCTCCTGCTGGAGGGCTGGGCTGGGGAGGTGGGTGTTCCCTCTGCTTTGGCTTCAGGCTGTGCAGAAACAAGGAGATAATGAGGGCTTGGAGCTTCTCAGAGAGCAACTGGGAAAAGGAAGGCTGTCCTTCCCCAGATGAGGTCTGGTGGCTCCTGCAGCTTGGGATGCAGCACAGCTCCTGAGGCAGGAGGACCTGGCATAGTCCTGAGCTGCTTCTGCTCAGCAGATATTCCTCCTCTTCCATAAAAATGATGGTGCCTGGACAAGGCTGGGAAAAATGCAAATTTAAAAATAATTGTTTGCTTTTGCTGCTGCAACATGAGCAAACTAAAGCAGTGCAGAAAGGAGTGTGTTCTGGTTATTCTCCTGGGCTCAGATAGGCATTTCTAGCATCCTTGTTGGTTTGCCTTGAGAAACCAGGTGGCCCTGGAGCAGTCTGGCAACCTGCTCTGTGCCAGTCCTTTCTTGAGCCCAGATCCAGATGGCCAAGTCCCTGTCTGTCCTGGAGGTCATTTTGGGAGGGGCAGGCTGCTTTCCCTGGGCCAGCAGCGGGGCGGCTTACAGGGTGACAGGGCTGGTGGCACGGGGCCATTTCTGGGCTGCTGGAAAAATCTCTTGTCTCTGCAGTCTTGGTGCAGGCTGTGGAGGCAAGGAAAGAGGGAGATAAGGCAGATTTCCCTGTTCTCTACATGCAGGATGAATGTGCTGGCAACTGACAATGAGTCCTACCTGAAGACCTGCCGCTACAGCGCGGAGCATCCCTACTGCCCCATCTTCGTGCTGGGGAACATCGTCCGCTGGGCTGGGGGCGACTTCCAGGAAATGGCCTTGGGGGTAGGAGTGTCCCTCGGGCATCCATGTCTTCCCAGCTGGCTGTTCTGCGTGCTGGGTGGCCGTGAGGGAAGTCACTGTCCACTGCCCAGGGAACTGCCTCCTGTCCAGGCTGCACTGGAGAGATGCCAGTGCTTAAAGTCGAGCTGGTCCCATTTATCCTGTCCCCAGGGAATGGGAGGCAGGGTGATGTGGGTCCTCTGGAAGAGCTGGTCGGGTCAGTGATCTGTTATTCTGCCCAAACCTCTGCCACCAGGGATTCTTTGTTTAATTTCAATATTACTGCACCATTGGTTTAAACCTAGAATTTCAGGAACTCCGTTCCTGCATAAAAGAGAATCTTCTCAATTGAAGTACATTACAGCCACTTAAATTAGTGAAATCAGTGTCCTGGGAGAGAGCTCCTCAGATATGAGCACAGGGAAGGCTGGGGTTGTGTGTAAAGTAATGGGATTAATATCACACACCTGAACTCAGCCCATCCAGGGATGCGTGTGCTCATGTCTGGGACCAGAGGTGCAGCTGTTCTTGTCCATGGGGAAAACTCACCCAAAGGCCTGACAAGTTTGAAGACACTTTAACTGAACTAAGCTTAAACAACTCACCCTGTCTCTCTCTTTTGTTAAGGGTGGTGTGATAGGAATTCAGATTGAATGGAACTGTGATCTTGATAAAGCCCCTTCTGAATGTAATCCTCACTATTCTTTTAGCCGGCTGGATAACAAGTCTGCAGAAACGTCCATCTCTTCTGGGTACAACTTCAGGTGGGTAAAGAGGAGGCCATGATCAGTACTGCAGTTGGGCTGGGCTGGTTTGACTTCAGGAGTTGGAGTTTGGCAGTGGAGTGGCACCAGCCTGTGCCAGGCACTGCCCCAGCCAAGCACAGTGCGCTGCAGGGGAAGGAGGGAGGGAACTGTGCTCCTGGCAGGCTAAAGTTGGTTTTGACAGGGGAACAGATCTGTTCGAAGAGATAAGTGAATTCAGAGGGGCAGATGGAGTTAAAACCAGCATTTCTGTGTTCCAGGTTTGCCAAATATTACCGGGATGCTGAGGGGGTCGACTACCGGACGCTCATTAAAGCCTACGGAATCCGCTTCGATGTGATGGTGAATGGCAAGGTGAGGTCCCAGGCCAGAATATTCCAGAGCACGGAGAGAAAAAACTTGGGGACATTTCTCAGTGGGAAAGCAGCTCTGGGATAAGGGAAGCCTCTTTGGCTTGTCATATAGGAAAGGGCTCTTCCCATCCGTCCACGTGGAGCTAACCCTGCATTAGAGAGATGACCTGGAATGCAGCTGAGCCTGCACCTCCTCTACCTAAAAGCAGGCTCATGTAAAGCCCAACAGAAGTAAATACACCCCAGAGACTTATTTCTATGTATATGCACTGCAGAAAAAAAAAAAAGCCTAATCCAGGGATGATGCAAGCTCAGAACTGCAGCCAGGGGCAGCTGGATCTGAGGCACACACAGACCTTTAGCCTCCAAGATTGTTCACTGCGGATCTGCCATGGTTGTGTCTGCTCCATGGGAACAAAACACACCCACAGGCAGCAGCAGCTTCCCCTGTGCAGTACCACACCCTTCAGTTTGTTCTGTGGGGTTGTTCTCTCACCGGTTCCTTCATGACTTTTCTTCTTCCAGGCAGGGAAATTTAACATCATTCCCACCGTTATCAACATCAGTTCGGGGCTGGCGCTCATGGGAGCGGTAAGTGAATGTTTTGTCTCAAAGTATCATATTGGTTCCCAGACCCCTCCTGTAGCTGTAAGGGGGAGAAATATAATATATATACCCCATAAAATGCTTGGAGAATTAATGAAAACACAGCTTGTATGAGTTATTCTTTAATTAATTCTCATTGCTAATGAGATCAGAACACTTCCTCTTCTATTCCAAAGATAAAACACAAGTTCTTTCTCTTTGCAGGGCGCCTTCTTTTGTGACCTGGTGTTGCTGTATCTGATTAAGAAGAGTAACTTTTATCGAGGCAAAAAGTACGAGGAAGTGAAGTAAGTGGGCTTGGCTTTGTGTTAAATGTCATGGCTTGTTGTTATGAGTAATAGAAATAGGAGGAGGTACAGGAGCAGAGTAACTGTCAATGGCAAAGAAAGACCCATTCCAGGGAAATATATTCCTCCAAATGAGTTTAGCCAAGTTTCTGGCTCCTTCTGTAATTCATTGCTGCAGTGAGCTGGGGAGCAAAGGCAGCTGCTCTGTCAGGGCTGGACTGTCAATGACCTTGTACTGTTGGTCCCTAGTGACCGAGGGTGAAATTGGGGCAGCTCCAAAAGCCTCATGGAACGGAGATATGGGAATTAGCTGTACAGAGGGTCCTCTGGGGTAAGATATGACTGGCCTGGCTGGGAACCTCTTACTCATGTTGCTTCCTAAAATTAAACGAGCCTGCTTCCCCTGTCTGTCACCTGTGCTTGTTTCCTCAGGTCCAATTCCAGGAAGTCATTGTCTAGTCCGACACCGAACGGGAATCAGAGCCCAGACCAGCTGGGTGGGCTCTAAGCACAGCGGTGCCTCTGCCAGCTGGACTTGTGCTCCAGGAAAACCACACAGGTGTGAAACCACACCAGCACTGGGAGGTGGAGATCAGGGATACTGTCTATTACCAGGATTCCCAGAGGAAAAAAACGTCCTATAAAGACTGTCCTTCTTCCCTGAGATTTCCCTGGTATCCTGAGCTTGCAACAGCGTGTCGTCACTATGGATTTATAAAAGGATTTTATAAAAGGACAAAGAAGGCACCAAATGAATGTTTTTATATCCACTGATAGATATATCTGTACCTACGCCAATAGCCAGCGTTGTCCTGTGGCTGTGCTTTGATTCCATCTGTGGAAGAGCCTGATGGGAACCACCAGTGGCACTTTGAGAAGGGCTGAGGCTGAGATCCAACCTGTCTCCTGCTCCACTGCCTTCCAGCCACCGCTTCCAGCTCCTGCCTGTGTGACGTGCGTGGTCGGGTGTGAAGCAGCAGGACTGCTCTGGTGCAGGGAAATGTGGAATTTGAACAGCTCTCAGAGCTGGGGAAGGGGCTGTTGTCCTGCAGGGGCTGTGGCAGGGTGGGGCAGTCACTCCCATGGGGGTGTGTAACCATTAGGGCTGAAAACGGTGCTTCTCCAGGAAAAGCCTTCCCAAGGTGCTCCGCTCATCTCAGGAACAGCAGGAGCAGGTCCTGCCCAGCTCTGCAGCTGCCTCACCTGCTGCCCCATCCCTGCTCCCAGCTGGCTCAGAGAACCAACATTTCAGAGCCCAGGGCAGGGAACAGCAGCAGAGCAGGGCTCTGCAGCAAGGCAGGGACAGGCAGTTTTGGGGTTCATAGGGAGAGAAATGGGGGTTAATGCACTGAAAAGCAACACAGCCCTGGGAGCACCTGCACAGGGGTGGGTTTAGGTTCTGCCTCCTTTGTTCAGTGCCTGGTTTCATTTGCTCTGTATCGTCCTTCCTGCATCACTTACCAATTGCTCGTGGTGGGCAGGTCTGGATGGGGCACTTAAAGCTTCTGTGTTTCTCATAGTACCCTGAACTGCACTGCAGATGGAAAAGGGGAGCTTTGCCAGGCTACCCCAAATACACCAACAGCAGGGAAATTTAAAGACATCTGTGCTACTTCAATGCTCTGGTAACTTCCAGGAAATACAAGTGCTTCTTTGTTTCTCAGCAGAGAAATCAGTCTCACTGCAGCCCATTTTGTCAGTTTATGCTCTCGTGGAGATGTAACTAATTTCAGAAAAGGGCTTATGGAACATCATTGTTTAAAGTTTGCATTTTCTTGAGCTGACAGGAACTGACTCACCAGCTCCTGAAGACAGCAGTGAATCAATATTTGTGCCTCATTTAGAGCTTGCACAGCATGGCTTGGTAAAGGCTGAGCAGAGTTCTGGAAGTGCTGACAGTCACCACTTACTGGGAGTCCTTGTGATAATTGATTGAATGGTTCTGTGCACTCTGAATACCAAGATTTAAGGGCTCCTGCTGCAGTGTCCTTACGCATTTCTGGACAGAGGGAAGGTGGCCTTCAGGGAGCTGCTGCCATTGAGTGTCTGCACAAATGGCACCAGCAGCTGCACCCACCTCTGCTTTAACTTCTTTGAAGCAGTTGTTCTGAGGTACAGGTTGATTCTAAATTAAAATTCACTTGTTAGCAGCGTCAAACTCTGAATCCAGTCATTGATAGCAACCCCACCCAGTGTAGTTCACTCCCTCTGCTTCTGTGTATTGAGCCAAAAATGTAGCTAGAAAATAGAACTAAGCAGTGGAGGTAATTTAGGATAAGCTATGTACCTCTGACCTCATCCAAAACCTCCTCTCTTCATGCCAGAAGCCTCTTTCTAGGCAAACACCACTCACCATGTGTGTAACTGCACTAGTCAGGCCTTTCAGAGTTACCAGTACAACAGCCCAGGCTTTTGACTGTCAGGGGTTAATTCTAGTTGAGTAATTTTCAGATGGTGAAATACATGGTGAACCCCACATGTGGCATCAAGCCCAGGTACAACCCATGGAGACCAAGTTGCTCATCACAACATGCAGAGCTGACTGTGCTCTGCTGAAACCACTGTTTTAACTTGACAAAACAACCTCCTCTTGTCAGAGGACCAAAGCTATTTCCTGAATTTAAGTCCTCAGGCCTCCAAAATTCCCCAGAACGTTTCCCTTCTTTATACTGTTTAATAAAATTCCCACAACCCTTGCTGTTAATAAAACATAACCAGATTCCTTCTCAGGAGCTTGTTTCTTGAGTTTGATTTTTTTTTCCTCATTGTATTTAACGTACAGCAATGAAATGTGTCCCTTTAGGGCAGTGCTCCCCAAGACTGTTCTGTACAGGGTGTATCAGGTTTCACACATCACCTTCTTTTGGTGACACTCTGATGTATTAAAGTCAATTGAGCAGGGGCAGGGCTATGGGAAAGGTATTACCTGTATGGTGGTTGAATTGTCCTCTCTGGAACCACAACACTGCACTGGTCACTTACAGAACATGCCAGCAGGTTCACAGGGGTGTTGGTTGTCTCTGGATCATTTGACACAGCAGTACTAAAAATGAGTGAAGTGTTTGACTTGTGAGAGCACCATTTAGAGACTTTTCTGGTGGCCAGTGTCATTTATGGTTACATGTACAGACAGCAATTGTGGGAGAGAACATTTGCACTAGCAACTCAAATACATTTCTGTACCAAACCTTTACTTACACCTAATTACACGGGTCAGTGGATTATTTCAGAGCTGTTACACGCTGCTCCAGCAGGATTTGTGTGTAGGGGCAGGCAGCAAATCCAGAGAGGACTGTAACTGGTGTGTCTTACCCAAAGAAAGGATACAAGGGATTACATTAACCAAACCCACATCTGTGTCTGCATTTAGGGACAGAAATTATCCCTTAGCCAGCAAACAAACACTCACAGGAGGCATCCAAGTGGTGCTTCACATTCAGTTTTAATTAGAACAGTGCTACTGATTAATTTGTACTCGGACATAATTTACCGACAGCATTAATGACATGAGCCATGGAAAACAGCTTGGAAGGTGAGCTGGCCTATTGTGTAGTGACTTTTGGCAACAGTCCTCATGCCCCGCTCAGTACACGTGGACCATCCCGTACAGGAAAGTCCAGAACAGGACGTAGGTGAAGAGCCCCCCCACGAGCCCCCCCGTGAAGAGCGGCCGCCGCGACTTGAAGTACTTGTTCCACCGCCGCCCGGCCTTCAGCACCAGCAGCACGGAGAGCAGGACGGAGGCCAGAAAGTAGAAGATGAAGCCGTGCAGGCCGGTGAGGCCGAGGATGCCGGCGGTGGCGCCCGACAGGGCGGACACGGAGGTGCGGCAATAGTCCAGGATGGCCGCGTTGCCCCGCACGGCCGCCTCGCTGATGAACTGCGGCCCCTCGCGCTTGGCCACCACGGCGGCCATGGCTCCACCACGGCGACCTCCTGGCTCGCAGCGGCACTGGGGTGAAGCACAGACAAGGCTGTACGAGCCCGACGAGGCTGTGCCAGCCCGACAAGGCTGTGCGAGCCCGCCCGCCCTCAGCGCGCCGGCCCCTCAGCGGCCCTCCCGCCCCCACGGTACCTCTCATCCACGGCGGCGCGCAGCTCCGCGGGACCGCCGCTCCGTCACGCCTCGCACCCTGCCAAGGGACAGCACACAGCGCCCGTCACCGGGCCCGACCGCCACCTCCCGCCCCGCCGGTCCGGGCCAGACCTGCCGGACCTCCCGCCCCGCGGGCCCCGCCGGGCCCGACCCGCACCTACCGCGCCGCCGGCACCGCCCGCCCGCCATCTTGGCGCGGGGGCCGACGGGACGCGGCCGCGCGCGAGGCGCGGCGCGGGCGGGGCGGCTCCCGATTGGCTGGAGGTGGGAGGGGGGCGGGGCCGGACCAGGCGCTTTTGTTCGGGCGGCGACGGGAGAGGAAAGAGAGAGAGGGAGAGAGAGAGATGGCGTTTGTACCGGGACAGCCCGTCACCGCCGTGGTGGTGAGCGGGGACAGGGGGCACGGGGGGAGATGGCGTTTGTACCGGGACAGCTGGTCGCCGCTGTCGTGCTGAGGTGGGACGGGGCGGGAGGGGTACCGCGCCGGGGGCTGCTGGTGAGGATGGGGGTGGCCCAGGACCACCCTGCAGGCTGTCAGGGGGTGGAGGTCCCGAGGCAGCCCCGGTCCGTGGGTGCGTGGAGGGAGCGGGCGAAGGATGTGGGACGGGACGGGGGCACCACGCTGGGAGCTGCTGAGGGGGACTGGCACGGGGACAGAGGTGGCGGTGCCGGTGCCGCCCGGCAGCGCCCTGCGGGCTGTCAGCGGGCGGAGGTGCCTGGCGGGGGTGGATGCCCCCGCGGGCGTGGAGGTAGCGGGCGAAGGGCGCGGTCCGCAGCGCCGCCGGCCCCGGTTGCCGCGGGGGCTGTCAGAGCTCGGCCGGCCCCGCCGGGCACTCGGGGCACAAGCGCCTCTGCGCTCCCGGGTGGGAGAACCGGGGGGAAGGTCCACCGGCCCGAGGGACAACAGGCCCCTGCCCAGGCCCGCCGGCTGCTCGAGTGTTGCTTGAGAAAAGAGGGAACGAGTGGCCGTGATCGCCTGAAGCGCCTTCTCCCGATATCGGGACCACTGGTCGCCGGTGCGGTGCCCGCTCTGCCAGGGCAGGGGCAGGATAAAGCACCTGCTTGTCTGGGTGGGGTTTAGGAAGCAGAGCTTTTAAAGTGAGGTAATTGCACACAGTGCAAGTGAAGGACTCTGTGCCTTCCGGTGGTTGGAATATTAAAGGTGGTTGTGCTCTGGGAGTGTGACTGGTACCTCGGCTGGAACGGGCTGCACAGCCCCCAGTGTCTGAGAGCTGACAGCCCTGAGGACACGGACTATGTCCTGCTGTGGATCTCACTCTGGATCCACTGATCCCAGTCACTCTGGATCCCAGGGAGGGTCTGAGTCCAGTGCCTGTGAGGAATTCTCACAGAATGGTTTGGGTTGGAAGGGACCTTTAAAGGTCACCTCATCGAGCCCCTGGAATAAGCAGGAACATCTTCGACTAGATAGGCTGAACCACCTTTTGAGAGGTTATTGTGCCAGTTAAGACTGTGGCTTTTCATTGTGGCTCAGGAATTGCTGGCATTTGTACAATGCTGACATAATGCATAAAGCTTGTCAGAGGCCTCTGTGCATCTGGCAGCGAGGAACCTGCCGCTGGATTACAAAAGTGTGGATAAGTTATCCTGAAAAAGAACCATCCTAATAATAGGTTGTCATTTCTGCTGATAGGACTAGCAGGAACACAGGGCACGTGGGTAACGAGATGAGTCTGGTCATGAGTGACTGCTGGTTATCAAGGCATGAGTCATGTTTAAAGAGACCTGGTCTGGTTTTAGTGTTGTTCCCTTCTATCCCCGGGCAGGGGATAAAGCTCTGAGTAATTAAGGTGCTTGGCTGTGTGATGGCATGAGAACCCTTGGGCTGAGCATGGAATGGCTTCCTGTCCTGCTCCTCTGTGACAGAGCAGTTCAGAGCCAGCTGCTGTCAACACCAGGGCTATGTGGCTGACAGCAAGTGCCAGAGGACAGTTCTGTGCTGCCAGGGGGTTTAGAGCTGTCTGCTTACAGAACACAAGGGTACCAAGCTCTGGGCAGCCTCCTCTGGTGGGTGTGTGGGATCTCTGTGAAAGACAGTCTAACTGGATCTTAAATATTTGTGTCTGAAACACCCAAGATTCCTTCCCATCATCACAATACTCAGCTATTTTCTCTCCTTCTCTTTTCAGCAAAGAATTGAAATCCATAAGCTTCGTCAAGGTGACAATTTGATTCTGGGATTCAGCATCGGGGGTGGCATTGATCAGGACCCTACCCAGAATCCTTTCTCTGAAGACAAGACTGACAAGGTCAGATGCTCTTTTCCTGTAGCAACTCCTTCTCCAAAAGGCTGAGGGATCCAACTCAGCATCTGTCTTTGTCCTCTCACATCACTACTACTGAAGTTACTCTGTTGCTTTATTATCACTTGCAAAGTGAGGTTGTTTAAATGACCTCTCCACCTTTTCCACTGTCCGACATTGCACAAGCCTTTTTTTTAAACTAGAATTCCATAGTACACTACAAAGTATCTTTGCATTGCAGTAGAATGGCCCTTGAGTATTTAATGCTCCCATCTTTAGGGAATGAACCCTTCATTTTTTCCCAGGGTATCTACGTAACGAGGGTGACAGAGGGAGGCCCAGCAGAAGTTGCAGGACTCCAGATTGGAGACAAGATCATGCAGGTAAACACCAAGATAACACAGTACTAACACAGCACCATGTGCACACTGCAGACAAGCCTCTACTGGGGAAAAACAGTCATCTGGGTATTTCCCAGGACAGTTTGTGGGGTTTATTTATAAACTGAGCTGTGGCATAACCATCCACTGCATGGTTCTGATAGAACACTAACAGGACACCTGTGAGTCCCTGCACCTGCCTCATTTTATGGTTTTTTCCCCCAGGTGAATGGCTGGGATATGACAATGGTGACCCATGACCAGGCTAGGAAGAGGCTGACAAAAAGGAACGAGGAGGTGGTACGGCTGCTGGTGACCAGGCAATCCCTGCAGAAGGCTGTGCAGCAATCCATGATGTCCTAATCCATCATGGAGCTGGGGAAGGGTTAGGGAGGGAGATGTATAGACTGGTATCAAAGAAAGAAGCAAATGCTAGACTGGAACAGGTTGTCTGGAAGGGTTGCACGTTCCTACCTGTGGTAAACACTACTTTATTTTAACTTCCTCTGGTGTAACTGGCAGTAGTAAAACAATAGTCCCCTCAGCAGAGTGCTTCTCTAAAGTCTGCCCTGCAGGTACATGGCAAGACTTTTGTCATCATGGCTTTTGGGACAGGACAAACTGTAGTTACCTAAGAGCAACTGGAAAAGCCTTAATTTTGACAGGATTCTCCTGTAACACAAAAGCTTCCTATTTTAAGAGGAAATGTGGCTTCTGCTATGAAAAACCAGAGGGTTTGCTGTGCCTAAGCTTTTAGAAGTGAGCTGTCCTGTCCCTTCCATGCTATCAAATTAAAATGCCAGAACTAAGAGTTGCACACTGCTGTGGGGGGGAGCACTGTACTAATCCCACACCGTGTGCGAGCTGCAGAGTGTGCTGAAGGGTTTGGGGCATTACAGTTCCCTGCAGAGATTCCATGTACAAAGCAGCCTCTTCAGACAAGAAACAACTGAGTAGCACAGAAGTAACAGATTAATCTTTGTGAAGTACACTACAGCTTCATGGACACTACAGTTCAGCCTCCCTGGCAGAGTAAAACCTTAATTTTCCTTGTTCCGCAGTAATTTGGAGCATCAGATGAACTGAGTTTAAATTAAAGGAATATGGAGCAGGAAAGAAAACAATGTTGCTGAACTTACCAAAAAAAAAGCTGCTTGTATCTGTAGAGTTTTCAGTTCTTCATTCCACTTCTGTCAGACTTGAAATGGGAGGGGTGGATTTTGGTTTGTCTTCTAGAAGACTTTGTGTAAATCACTGATTTATTGGATGGAAGATACGAATATGCCAGTAACTTGCAAAAGTGCCTCTTGACCAAATTTAAACTTCTGGTAGGATGCTAAGTTGTTTAAATCAACATGCCACCAGGATTGAGGATTCTTGCTGCAACACTAAGTTCATGATCTGGCATCCTGTGGTTTGTTAGCCAGCCAGCTTTACAGTTACCCAAAAACTGGAGTTTTTAATCCTCTTCAGTTGATTTATACATATCTATACTTTCCTTAAGCAGTCTTCAGGTAAGCTGTTGTAAATAGAACGTGAGGAGGAGGCAGACTAACTTATTCAGTACATTACTGCTGTGCCATGTTGTGATTGATGCATCTCAGACTGTTCTATGCACACCAGCAGATGCCTATTTACCAATTTTATATCTATGGAATGACTACAATCCTGCTTTTGAATTTTTGTAACTTAAGAATTCCGTGGTAAATTTTAAGTCTTTCAAGCTGAAGTTATTTTTGTTACTATAAAGGATACACTGCTATTTGTACTGCTATTTCACTTGATTTTACACACAATAAAACAAAGTTGGATTTCCTGAGCTGTTTCTCCTTACTTTTAAGAGTGCCACATCACTTGGATGCCTCCAGCTGAGACCTTTTTTCTGCCTTGAAGTAGATTCTGGACTGAGGTTAGTAAGGTCTGGTTTTACTGGTGGGTATTTGTGGTGTTACTGAGCTGTCAAGCTTCACCTGGGCTCTAGCAGGGGAGAACCTGCTTTTCCTTAGATTGACACCTCGTAAAACACATGAGGTTTTAAGCATTCAATTATTCAAGCACAAATGCACAGATTCCCTTCTACTTCTTTTAAAAGGTCTAACACTTACCTTCCAAGTAATTCAAGACCTTGATCTCTACCTTAAGAGTACCATTTGTAGTTAGAAAGTTGCCCAGGAATAAAAGCTTATGCTTAAACTTTAATCATGGGACTGTTAACATGGCCCACTCATTTGATAAACCTTTAATCTTTACCATCCACCCATTAGGATTTAAGGCATGTCAGTGCAACTGAGCAAAATGAAGTTAGCAACTAGAAGTATTCTGAGCACTTGTCTTAGCACCTTTGAAAGAGTGAAATAACTGAAATATTTCAGTGAAATAAGAATAGAAATAAGAATACAGTTTCTGCTTCTTAGAATTTTTTTTAATAAAGAGTTAAAATTCTAATATTTGTGCATTTGTTACCAACCCCGTTGTTAACTGCCAGCCTGAGTGGTGCTGCACTTCGAGCTGTTTGAGGAGTCAGCAGCAGCACTTGGATCCACAGTCTTCAGTCATTACATTAAGTGGTTGCTTAAAAAAGATCTCAGGTTTTTGGAAGACAGAACTCTGTTCTTTGTGCTTCACTCCCAATCAGAAAGACATCACTCTGGTCTTTCTCTTCCCTGTTGTTAATGCAAAAATAGCCACGTGTTGCTTGGAGTGCTCAAGCTAAACTGTGTTTGCAGCTTCAACAGGCACGAGTCTCCCATGTGCAAGTGGTGGCCAGAGAGCTTGCTGTCCTTAAGGCATCTGGTAATCAGTGTTTGACAAGGCAACATTCCACACCAGAGAGGATCAAATCATAGACAGAGATCAGAATCAGTATTCCTGGTGACTGGCAGCAGGAATCTTGAAAGCCCTCAGCCAGGGTAGGCGTGAGTTCAGTTTAAAGTTTTTGTCCCCACAAGTGATGTTTGTTATTCACAAGGTTCATACCCTCGTCTCCTGTAAAGGCAGTAGTGCTGGACCATAAAAACAATATCAAAGATGATGGAGAAGACACCCAGGCCAAACTTGGTTGGATCTCCAAAGACTAATTTCCACTGATCTGTCAAACACAAAATTAGAGTTAAGTCTAACTCCTCAAGTGTAGTCTTGTCTCAAGACTACGAGGTCATGCCATGCATGTTAGAGAAGTTCACGATTATTACCTGGACTGCTTAGACACGCCTTAGGACTGACTGGAGTGCACATCTTATGCAAAGCTAATTAATAACTGTTCCTGTGGTTTCTTTAGAGTAGCTACTTCATTTTATATCTTGAGGGAGTATGAGCAGATTTTTTATTCTTTGTAAAAGAACAGCTCCCCATACCCCAGCACAAACACCATTCTCCTGAGATAACCTGCTGGTTTATATCTGCTTTGTAACAGGGGCCTCCCACCCCATGAAGAAAGGCCCCAGCAGCTCAGTTCCAGGCTTACCATTGTTGTATGACTGCAAAAACATCTGGAGAAGGCTGAAGCTTCCACCAGTGAAGTCCAGTAATACATTCCCAATACTCCATCCCTCAGTGCTTTTCCGACGGAAATTCATGTACGCCTGGGAGTGTAACAAGGAGTCAGTCAGTGTGTCATGCACTGGCATTTCAGAGTAACATTTAAGCAGCTTCAGGTATAACTATGCTGGTTTTGTCACAAAAAGCCTTAATAAATAATCATTGGTGGTTTAGTGTAGTCAGACTTTCAAGAGCACACACTGCAGGCCTAAGAATGCAGCAGAAAAGCAAAAAAAGTTCAGATTTACCTGAGGAAAATATTTTATCAGTGTGACTGCTAACTTAATGTAGGAGAAGCAGAATAAGAACTGTAGCCAAGTCATCTCCTCAGCTGCAGCAAGAAACAGTGTCGTGAAGGTGAAGATCCATGCAAGTGCCAGTAGTCCAACAACAACTCTGGATACTTTCTGACCCGCTCTCTGAAATAGAAACACGGATACAGTTTGGGCTGGTCATACATCCCCAGACACTAAGATACAGTTTGCCCATGACTGTGCAACATTACAGTCCAAACCTGTTTTACCAGTCAGGCTGGTACCACAAGGGAACTTTAAAATTAAGCAAGTGCTACAGCAACCAGGTGTAGGTTTGCAAGAGCTGATGAGCAATATTCATATCAATATTTTGAAACTCTGCTGTCTCTGAATAAGGGGGAAACAATTCTGGAGTATTTATAGTGCATAATCTGTAACAATCTCCCAAATTCAGTCTGATGATATGAAGAGTTCCTATGTATTCAAAAGGCTGATAATGCCATTATGGTAAAAGATGACTATTGCACCTGGCAGTGGGGACAGATGGGCTGTTACAGTTTTGGGTTTAGCATCACCAAAGGAAGAATCCCAAGAAAGAAACAGTTACCATCTAGAGAAAATTGGCTTGTTCAGATCAGAAGCTTTTACGTGAGAATTAAACAAAGAACCACCTGACTGTAAAAATCAATCAGTCTCACCTGAAAAGGTGTGAATTGTAAAAGGGCATTTACAGCTGTTTTAGGACAAAAGAAGTCGAAAAAAAGCTGCAAGTTTGAATTGCTGTAATCTATATGCTGGCCAGAGACCTGCTTGGGAACTTTATGAATCAGGCTGTTTGCCTCAGTTGTTATGAGTCTCTAAGGAGTTTACTTATAAGCTCAGAACTTCCATCAGGCTGAAGCAGATACGATCAGTGGAGTTGCTGCTAACTTAGGAAAGATGAAGGCAGCTGGATTGTGAAGCCTGGCTTCTGGGAAGGCAGTGGAAGCGCAGTGAAGAGGATTTTGGAGCCCCAAAATCGGTGAGGTGCCCGGCAGAGGGAGCTCTGCCAGAGCCGACAGATGAGCCCAGCACCCAGACCCACCTCGTAGATGCAGCACTGAATGATGGTGAGGAGAGTCAGAGTTACTGCGTGGAGGCTGAAGAAAACATCATTGATGGCCACGGGGTTCACCCCGCTGGGATAACTGACCAAGAATTCCTCCTAAAGATAAGAGAAACCAAAACCAGCCACATGTCTTAATTCCCTTCTGTAGATACCCAACCCCTGGTAAGTATTTAGAGAGAATCATGCTCACCTTAATCAAGGGAATCCAGAAGAGGCCAACGTTAAACACACTGTATGCTATAAAGCCAGTGAGGTTTAATGCTATAAAGTCAAAGCTTAGTCCAACAACACTAGAGTAGGGGAAAAAAAAAAAAAGAAACATGCATCAGAGCATTACAGGCAGTTCCAGGGACAGCTTGACCCTAAAATGTACTGATTTACAGGCAATTTCTGATTAAGCAAAAGCCTCAGGCATTGTGACAACACAATGCTGTGAGTTCATGAGGAAGCAAGGTGCAATAACAGCTCTCACTGACCAGGTTGTGTCCCTGCTGTTTAACTTGACTCCTCCATAAGTTCAGCTTGTCTGATAAAGCCATTTCAGCCTGAGGCACTAGTGCATTTCTGCCAGAATAAATGCTTTAGTTCTTATATATAATAATGTTTCTACTTAGAGTCACTTAGTTTAAGGGGAGCTGGCCTAATGATGACACCACAAGGAAGGGTCTGAGAAACAGCTCTCAAGGCTGCAACCTTTGAAAATGATCATCACAACTGGCTCAGGCAGATGATTTGCAACATCACACCAAAGGCAATGGGGAAATTTCTATCACAAATTAGTACTGGATGCCAAACCTTAGGACCAGGTGTCCATAGGATGCACTTAGTTTCCCCTAACCTGCATGTATAAAAGCTCACTGGGGCTGCCATTTGCCTTGTTTTTTTCCCATCTTTCCATGGATAATTCACAATAACCAAGATGGATGTAACTGAAGCTATGAACAGGATTTGCAGGAGTGCTTAAGTGACTTGCAAACACATCTTAAGTCTCTTTACCTTTTTCGTCGCCAGTTTTCAAAGAGTTGAGGATAAAAGGAGATGGACCAGGCAACAAAGTAGATCCAGCCAATCACCTCATCAGCATATCTCACTATGATGCTATGGATCACTTGGAATCGAATCCTAGGTCTGATGGTTAATGCAAAAAGAATTAGTTAATTCATCTAGTCACACTTTTTTCAGGAGTTTTTGTCTTGCTCTGCTTTGAGAGAGGAAATAGAGTTCAGGCGTTGAGACAAGACAACGAAGATTCAGTTGGTTGCAGTTGAGTTGCTCCCCTTTACTTTACTGTCCTTGGTATGTTTGGGACATCTCTCACTCCTACCCCCCCTTTCCTTCTTGCCTGACTCTTTTCCTTTCCATTCTTTTCCATTAAGAATTAATGTTCAAAAAGGTCATCTCGTGCCTATGGCTTCCAGTCTCTTAGCACAAGGTTCTGTTAGGCAAGAGAGAGTTGCACTTTCCACGCTCTGTCAGCAAAGCCTCATGATTGTGCCTGTCCTGTGAGTGTCCCACGTGTTCACCTCTGCATTTGCTTCGAGTCTTAAAAGCAGAAGCAAAACAAGGAAGTAAAATAGGAGCATCTTGTTGCTCAGTGACATCTGGGCAACAAGTGAATACTGTCCAGCTTTCTCCATCTTGCTAGACTTTTCCTGTGAGGGAGAACTGGGACCTGTGAGAAGAGACCTGCCCTAACTAGAAAGCAAAGCACCTGTATGTCATGGTAGTGATGTGGGTGCACAGCTGCACCAGGCTATTAGAAATCCAGAACAAAGCCTGCACAGAAAGATCAGTATCCCCCTGGACACTGACAACCAAGTGCTTCCCAGACTGGAAAATCTGGCATGCAGTTTTCATGCTTTTGGGAAGGGTTATTAAAACCAGACTAAGGAGCTGTGATAACTCAGTTATCTAGTAATT